CACTCGGAATATCATTAGCGGGCGTTTACGCGGCCTATAGCTATCATACCGTTAAGAATATTCCGCACTATTACTCCCTGCACTCATGGTTGGGAGGGGGGCTTATGGCCATGTATGCCATGAATCACATTGGTGGATTTATTACGTTCATTAAGCCTGGTTTGCCATCACTTCGCAAGCTTATACTACCGTTCCATGTGTTCATAGGTACAGCGTGTATAGTACTGGCCGGTGGTGTGGCTATTAGTGGTCTCACAGAGAAAGCGTTGTTTAGTTTGTGAGTATTGGACACAAAAATAGTGGACATTTTAATAATAAGTGTTGATTTTTAGGACAACTAAAGGAAAGGAGTATCGTAACCTCCCGGAGCCCGCGCTACTCATTAATGCGTTTGGCGTGAGTATAGTGGTGTTCATTATAGCTGTGCTATATCTGGTCACCCGACCCCAGTATGCGAGAAAGGATGTGCCCGCGATTAATAAAAAGGATTAAAGTGCCAAAAATATTAAGATATTTTGTAGTAAGATTTTTAATGATAATAATTATAATGTTAACTTAAATAAATAAATTTTAAAATGTATTAAATTACAAACCAATGTTTAGGTGTACCGTATATTGTAGAGGGCATGACTGCCAAAGATTTAATAAAGTTTTGATACCCGAGTAGTAATCTGTTTTGAATGAACACATCTATTTCAATAAATAGTCTGGGTCCACATGCGCCACAGAAGCCAACATTGAGATAATCGAGTTCTTAAGCAACAGAATCGGACCAAATTCTGTGTCCAAATTGAATTCCTTTATAAAGAACCTGAGGAAGAGGTCGTATACTCGATCACTTCGTTAGCGAAATCCTCGGTGTAGTTCCCGTAATGTTTGCCAATTGATATCAGCCATGATTTTGATCTTATAACACATTTCCTGGATATCAGGATATTTCCCAAATAGTATATCCACTGGGAAAGAGATTTTCACTTTGAATTCAGTGGAAAGTATTTATTAAATGAGCCATTTTTACTAAATCTCAATACAGTTTGCAATCATTTTTACAAATTATGTTGTAATCAAATCAATATATTCACAACTAATGTTTTTATATTAAAGCAAACAAATATGTCTACCGATTAATGCATAGAATTAAATACAGAATAACACATTTGTTATCACATACTATTTCTATCAATTGTACCTTACTAACCAAGCTCACAGATGTTTTTAAAATGTTTTAAACTTGAAAATACTCAACAGATATTGAGTGCATAATACTAAACTTGTATTTATTATTATATACTATATAATACCGGTATATTGTATATATTAATATAAATTACATTATAAGCTAATAATAAACTAATCGATTGAACATTTTCTTTATATTAAATAAATTATTTTAGTTTTCAT